GGAGTTCGATCTTATCCTTCTTGCTAGGGGGACCTCGTCCCAGAGGCCCCGCGGCTTCCCAGGCTATTGACAAATGGGTACTGGAATTGTACATTTGCGAATTTGGTCGATCTGTGTGACCGACCTTTGTTTTTTTTTTTGTTTTTTTTTTTGTTTTTTGTTTTTTTTTTTGTTTTTTTTTTTTTTGAGAAGAAAACCACTTGACTGCTCATGAATAAAGTTGGGGCCGGGTCCCCACAATTTCCCGGAAGAAAAGCCCCTTCCTGTCCAGGAATAGTCCAGCCTATTCTCTTCAGCCAGAATCTATTCTGTTACAGAAAACCCCAAAACAAACAAAACGACCATCCTTGAAACCTCCAAACAAGAACCTATCAAACTAACAACAAAACTACAGCAAAACCCCAGCTCACACCAAGACCTCCTATCCTCAACAAATGCCAAAAAGGACTAAAGTACCCCCACTATCCTCAAATTAGGTTCAACACACTCCTCTTATGCCCCACTCTCCTTCTCCCCAATAACCTTGAAACGTTTGCTAAAGCGCCATTCTCTCGCCCTGGAGCGACCCGAAACTTCACCTGTTTCAGAAGACTCCCTTTCCTAAGACGCTCCCTCCACCATCCTGCTTCCACCATACTGCCGTCCTACTGCGGACACAAGAAGCAACCAAGTGTTCAGGTTGTGCGAGTATGCAGGAGCCATGGGCCCAAAGTCAATTGTCCCTGCATTTTGATAGCTGCCAACTGATTCCTCTGACCCCAGGTTCTTAGAAACCACTAATACTTACTTTTTCCTGGTTTCTTGTTTTTTACTCTTCGAGCCCAATCCACCAACACTGCCAATCTAAACTGAAAACGCACTTCCATTTGCATCTAAACTGAAGACTTCTCTCCTTTGAAGACACTTACATTCCTACCCACCCATAGCACTCTGAGCAAAATAGCCCTTGCTACCTGAGCAATGTAGCCCCATCCCTTTCGGGTTTCCAGCTTTGTTGGCATACGGCCCGTCATAATCCAGTCGTCATCCCAATGCTGCCTCCACCATGACCGCAATTTATGTGCTACTGGGCATTCCAAAAGGAGGTGGCGGAGCATTTCCTCCGCCCCTCGACACTTACAGAGGACGTCCACCTTCATTTTCCTCTTCGACAGCCAGGTAGCAGTAGGGACAACCCCACGGGATATCATCCATAAAAGCCCTGCATGTTTCCTTGATGGTAACAGTTGAATTTGTTCCCACAGGGTCTGCAGATGAGCTTTCCCCATATTTGTTCTTCCGAGTCGACCAAACTTTTGAGGAAGGAGGAACCTATACTTGGTGTATAGGACTCTAATGACAGGGATTCCTGCCTAGGGCCCACGTTCCTCCATTGCCGGTCTAGCGGGTCTATACGTAATTCTTTCAGTGGTTGTTCTCCACAAAGTACCTTCGCCGGCCTACCTGCACGCCATCTAGGCAGAATTTGGACTCTAACTGATGCTCTAAAGTCTTGTGGTGGTTTCAGAGTAGTTCCTTCGTAACAGATGTACCCCTGGCCTCCCACCTGTTTCTTCTATTCCTCCACTATCACCATATCTCCTTCATCTGACACCACCCGTCCATATTTTGATTCATTCTCCTCCCTTTTTCCCAATTGGTACCACATGTGGTGCTCTAAGCCTTCCTGGACTAGGAGGTCTTTCCATTCTTCTGGGAGTGCTTATATCAGGTCCATCGCCCTTGGTCCTACCTGAGACAACCTTCCCAGTTTTCCTTTTAGCTCATCCTTTGTGATCCATCTTCCTTCCTGCTCTTCCCATAAGTCGCCCACTATCACAACTCCCCGCTCAATCCACCTTCTTCCAAAACTTTCCTTCCTTGCCGTAGTCTGGAAAGGATCCCCTGCCAGATTTAAGATCTTAGTGTTATCAAACAGGTTCTGTCTGAGGACCGCAACTTTAGACTCCACCTTGACCTCTGGTGGTCGGAGCTTTCTCCAGGCTTTAAGAATGTCGGACTAGGCTTGTGACGATGAGCCTGTACGCAAATATGAGTCCATCTGTGCACAGACCCAGACATCCTCCTTCCGCAGAAGATCCCAATCATACTGCAGGATATTTTCTGCCAGCTGTACCCATGCTCTTTCATCGGCTTAAATGACGATTTTCACCATTCATTTGACCAGCAGTGCCTGATTCTGTGTAACCGGATCTGTTATGTTTAGGCCCCCTTGTGAGAAGGGTGTAGTGACCTTCTTCCATGTCAACTTTGACAGACATCTACCTTTTTTTTTACCTGGATTCCACAACAGTCTGGCCCCCGCTTCCAAAATTTTTGACAAGGTTGGCTTTGTGGATTGTCTTATTGTGAAAACAAACCAGAGGAGAGGGAAGACCGATGTGTTCATAACCATTGCTCTGCCAAATAACGAGAGGCTGCCTGACGCACGACACCGTTCGATCCTTGCCTGGACTTTACCCAACAAAATGGCATCTTGGGTGTGTTGACAGTTAGAGAAGGACACTTGGATACCCAAGTACCGATCCGCATTACTACCCTGAACCCTTTTCATACCGTAGTCAGCCTGTAATTCGTAAGATTCTGGTACTAGTAGAAAGTAAATCGATTTATCCCAATTAACCCTGACTTCTGACAGTAAACAATATTGATCCAGAACTTCCTTTAGAGCAGTCAGGGACTCACTCGTGTTCTGACAGAATGTTAGTAGATCATCCGCAATCGCACCCACTATTATCTGAACATGGGGGCGAATGGAAAGCCCAATAATCTGCGGGTGCTTCCTTACAACATTGAGGAGAACCTCCATCCGGACTACAAAGAGCAAAGGGGCCAAGGGACAGCATTGTCGAAGAGAGCGAGTCAAACTGAACTCGTCGGACAAAACGTCATTTACGAGAACTGTTGCCGAGGACAGTGAATACATCATTGTTACCCAACGCGAAAAGTTCGGCCCAAAATTCATCAGTTCCAATGTCGGTTGCACAAATGTCCAATTTACCCTATCGTAGGCCTTTTCAAGATCCAACATCATGATGGCAACCACCCTGTCTTCCTTTCCTACAATTTTTAGTGCCTCGATTGCCATCATGATGCTGTCCATAATCGACCGACCCTTAACGAAGGCGCCCTGGTCCGTTGCCACCAAATATGGAAGATACGGTGCTAGGCGGATAGCCAAGGCCTTGACCAGGATTTTATAGCTCACGTTCAAGAGGGATGTTGGGTGGTAATTCCTTATGTTCTTAATATCTCCTTTCTTGTACAGTAAGGAAATAATACCTCTAGACATGTCGGTGGTGAGACGACCTCCTGTTAAAACTTTGTTGTATATTTGGAGGAGTAGCGGTGCTACCTGCTGCCAATTACCTCAAAGTATTCAACGGGGAGCCCGTCGTCTCCCGGACATTTTCCTTTAGCCAATATTCTCCTTGCTTCTGTTATTTCCTCCAGGGACAGGGGCCTATCCAGTAACAATATGTCCGACTGTGATAGGGCTACCGTAGTAGCCTTCCAGATCTCCCTAACTTCTCTAAGGTCTGTCGGGGATTCCCCAACTGGCCTACGAGAGGTTAGGATGTCACTGAAATATGTCTGTGCATAGCGGCAAATAGTGTCTGTTTCCTTAGCGACGTCTGCCTGTGCGAGAAAGTGATGTTCCAACTCCCTAAATGTGGTGTGGTACCTTGGCGGAAGGAGACGACGAAAGGTCTCTTTCGTTATCCTGTCCGCTTGCAACATCCCTTTCTCTCTTGCTCTTTGGGCCCAAATTTCCTGCTTGTGTACTTCTATCTCCTCCCACCTTTCCATCCATCTGTCCCGCTCGTGTTCCCAGTAAGTGTCTGAAATTGGGTGTCCCCCAAAATGACCCTCCGCCTCCTGAATCTTGAACCTGCATTCATCTTCATCCTTATGCCTTCCATAGGCCAGAATCCTAGAGAAGGCGTCCATAGCCCTAGCATCAAACCATTCATTTTCGGAGGAGAAAAGGCCCCCGGCGTTATCCCAATCTTTCCAGTGTTGTATACACCAGGTCTTGACAGACGGAATCTGCAGATTATCTGTATTCAAACGAAAGATACCTCGGCCCCTCTGGATTTCCCCGGACATCTGGAACTGAGCCACTACCGGTTTATGATCAGACAAGATCTGCGGATGCAGATCCGCAGATCTATATCTGTTAGGGTCTCCCACGCCTCAGCCGTGACTAAAAAGTAGTCAAGGCGTCTGCGAGGGGAAAGCCTGTCCGGAAACTGCTGGCTGGAGAGCCGGGTATAATCAGGCTCTAGGGGATTGAGCACTCGGTAGGGGTCTACGAATTCCTGTTGTTCAATGATTGAGAGTAGTTCTATAGTATCAGCCCGGGTATTCTTGGGTTCTGGTGACTCCAGCCCTGGGTTCAACAGGGTGTTCCAATCTCCCCCTACAATCAGGTTTTCTACCTCCGGAAACACGTGCGGCAGTGCAGAGAAAAAGGAGAGACGGTCACCATATATGGCGGGGGCATACACTGACATTACTGCCCATGTCCTGTCCTCGTATCTAAATGAAACCCAGGCCCATCTTCCCCATTTCCTCTTTTTCTTGGGATTTTGGGATTATAGGTCCCCGTGTGAGTATGCCCTGAGTATGCCCTGAGGCGTAGCGGCGGCCACTCGTTCTAGCCGCCGAATAGCTGGGCCGTCATATAGCTGGCAGCCGTTTCATATTGCCCGGCCTTCAAGCTCTGTGGGGAAATTGCCTGTGATTGACTCTGGACTCCAAATCATCAGAGGCTCTGTAGGGAAATTGCCTGTGATTGACTGTGGACTCCAAATCATCAGAGGCTCTGTAGGGAAATTGCCTGTGATTGACTCTGGACTCCAAATCATCAGAGGCTCTGTAGGGAAATTGCCTGTGATTGACTCTGGACTTCAAATCATCAGAGTCTCGAAGGGCACACAGCTGCAATGATCGCCATCGGCGATGTGACTCTTGCCGTGTGAACCGGGCGAGCGCGTCTCGGCCGATCGACGTGTTTTAGCGTTTGGCATGCCGCTTCGTCAGGACGCTCTCTCTCTGTCTTGCATGTGTGTGTGTTCGCTATACACAACTCCAGAAAAAAACCATGACTGTGCCAGACTGTTTCGTCGACTCATCAGGAGGTTGAACGTGTGCGTGTGGTATGTGTGGGTGTGTCTCTCTCTCTCCTTCCCTTGTCTCTTCGCACTTTCCGTCGTGTTACTCTCGTACGGTGATTTAATGGTAGATGCTTTCTGGTATCCGATTCCTGGCCTTGTGTGCTAGATCGCATTGCCGCTGAACCTGTGTCTAGTTAGAGGACTGCCGCTGAACCTGTGTCTCGTTAGAGGACGGCAGGTTGTACAACAACTGAGAGGTGTGGTTAATTCCGTCACATTGCGTCACATCCCGTATCGCCGGTTTGGGCGGTTGAAGCGACCTTCTGTTCCCAATCATACGGTGGAGAGTGAAACTCTGGCCTGAGAAGGAGTGCTGCCTGACGGGCTAAGCACTGCTGTCGGCTTGTGCCGGTGATTTGCGTTTCCAACTGCGCAAAGAAACGAAGTGGTATTGTCTTGGGGACACCCCCGACACGTGGGCAATGGGGGCTTGGGAATGGCCACATGTTCGGTATTCTGGGGACCCCTGACCTGCGAGGGAAGTCTGCTCTAACTGATTGGCAACTGACAAGGATTGACAGGCTGGTCTGGGGAGGAGAGATAGACGTCGTCGACGACATGTTGACAGTGCGCCACGTGTAATGGTCGGTAAGTGAACCTGATCAGACGTCCGAGAAGTAAACGCCTTTTGCGCGTCGCATACGCAGTCCACGGTCGATGGGGACGCCGATCCGACGTCGATTGTGGAAGGTACACGGGATGATCGTCGGGTTGACCATTCCAACGTAATCGTCATAGCGAGCGAGCGAGAGAGAGAGAGAGAGAGAGAGAGAGAGAGAGAGAGAGAGAGAGAGAGAGAGAGAGAGAGAGAGAGAGNAGAGAGAGAGAGAGAGAGAGAGAGAGAGAGAGAGAGAGAGAGAGAGAGAGAGAGAGAGAGAGAGGGAGAGAGAGAGAGAGAGAGAGAGAGAGAAGGGAATGAAGTGAGAAAACGTGATTGACGAGCTTGATGGGGAGGGATGGGGCCTTGCAGCCGCGGCCGGTGTTACGAGCGATCGGGTTGGGTCCATTACCATCTGCTTCGGCATCGAGGTCAGCGATTTCTCCTACAGGAGAGGAGGGAGCGGAGAGCGTCATCTCTCGAATAGGTCACCCTCCTATTAGGCCAGTGCTGAAAGCAGGTCTACTACGATCCGTTTCTACCGGGCTGGAGAAGCATGTAGCGGCCGTCACGTGGACAGGCGTAGGGTTTGTCGGGTGGGTGCGCAATGCCACTGCAGGGTTGGCGCGGGGGATCTCGACACAATGCAGAACGATCGCGGCTTCTACGCGGATTGTCCGAGGAGGGGCGATCGTGGAAAAGTGCGCCTGGTCGCCACGTGGCGGGCACATCGGGGTTGCCGTGGTTTCTACCAGCAGCAGAGCATGTGGGGCCGGGGTAAGGACGGTGGAGGTCCTCGCGCTCCCATCTAATGTCACCCTTGAACTCGTCGATAATGGACGTTCATCCGGAGAACCACTCGCAAAGAGATCCAGCCTTGACGCCATGACTCCCGCCTCTTCAGCTTCTCCGGCTTCTTCTTCCTTCGTCCCTTCTTTTTCTTCTGCAATTCTTTCCCCGACTGCGCCGCCGATCAATCGTCTGGCTGCGACGGCTTCGCCGTCCGTCTTAGGCGGCGCTTTCGTTGAGATCTCCGTCGGCGTTCGCGGGGAGGGCGCGGGTTCGATTCCTTCGGATGTCGATAGGGCGGGGGCGGGGAGACGAAGAGGGTGGTTGCTGGCGGGTAGCCGGCGAGAAGACGGTGGCAGTGGCAGTGGAACGGGGAGTGGTTGGGGTCGCGGATGGAAGGAGGAAGTCGCGGTGGACAGAAAGGACACGTGTGAAAGTGTGAACGACAAAGATGGAGGCGCAAATGGCGGCCAAGGCGGAGGAGACGAGGGTCGTCTGCGACAGAGAGTTGGCGCCACGATCCGATCGAAATTCAGCGGGAACGCCCTAGCCGGAGCGCTTGCTGGTGGTCTCGTCAGCTGTTGCCTGCATCCCATTGACACGGTCAAAACTGTGGTGCAGTCGGAGAGAGGCGCCGCCAGCTCGTCACTTTTCCCAGTCATCCGCAAAATTTTGGCCGATCGAGGCATGTCCACCCCGTTGCATCCTTGTCCCTTGCCTTTTTCTTTTTCCACAAAAATTTGGCCGATCGAGCCATGTTCCTTTCCCGCCCTCCTCGTCCTCCTCCTTATCTTCCTTCCTCCTCTTGTCGCCTCCTTGATCTGCCCCCTGGCTTGCCTATAGTTTGCTCCCCTTCCGCTTCTCCTTCGTGTTCCAGATAAGCCGCGGGGGGAGCAAGGCAAGCAAGGTGGAACAGGGGGAGGGGTAAAACGGGGGAGAGCATAACTAATGCGAAGTAAAGTAAGGGGGTTCGGAGAGGATAAAAAATGTTTGCAGACAGCACAAGAGAAGCAGAAGGCGGGCAAACTAAAGCAAGGCGGTAGAATAGTTTGCTCCTCTTCTGCTACTCTTGTGGTCTCTGCTCTTGGCCCTTCCTCATGCTCGAGCTTGTCTTCCCATTTCCTGCTTACCGCGTCTGCTCCCGGAGCGTGTATCTACCCCGTGTCTCCTCCTGCGTCTTCTGGTTTTTCCCTCGTCCATTCTCTGGATTCTCTTCCGTATTCTTGCTTTTTTTTCTCTCTCTTGTCATCCATCCCCTTGTGATGCTCATGCTCCAGCGTGTCCTCTCTTCCTGCTTCAACCTCTGTGCTCCCTTGGTAGTACGGCATGACCCCCTCATCTTTTTCTGATTCCTTTTACTGACTGATGTTGATTGACCGATTGGTTGATTGATTGTTTGATTGTTTGATTGTTTGATGGGTTGATTGATCAATTGGTGATGGGTTGATTGATTGACTTGTTGGTTGATTCGTTGATTGACTGGCTAGATTGATTGATTGGGCGATTGAGATGGATTACTCAAATCTCTACTCAGAGATTACACTGTACATATGCTACATGAATTCCAAGAGGGCTGCTTGTTCATCATGTCGAGGTGGAGCTTACTGCATTAGCAGCCTCGTCTGTGTCGCGGCCTGAAGTTTCTGATTTAGGATTAGGAGAATGCTCTTTCTTCCCATTTCGCCTTCTCCATTTCGATAAGATCGTTTGGTCTCCTTCCTTCATTGAGTTGAGACGTGGTGCTCGAGAGGGCTTCAGGACGACTGACCCTTAGGGCTAAAATGACGGACCATGCAGTTGAAGAGCCAATGTCGTAGTACTTCTTTGCACGCATAAAGGCCAGCAAAAGAGCAAGCATCATAGAGGGTGTCACGGACATGGGGGATCCATCCCTCGTTGATTTCCTAATCTGGTGTTGATTTCCTGATCTGAAATGCTATGATAGCAATGGCAATTGTACGAGGAACTTCGCAGATCCAAAACCCCATCCCCTACTCCAGTTTAAAACAGAGAGTTTAGAACATGGATGATACATTTTCTGGATAAGATAATTAAATCCGGTACTAAACAGAGAGTTCAGAACAAGAATTCTACAATATTTTGATAATAATTACATAAAAACGGCAAGAATGCTACAGTATCTTGATAAGACAATAACAGAAAAACCACAAGAATGCTACAATATCTCGCTAAGATTATATAGACGAAACAGCAAAGGAAACTCTACAGACTCATCGCCATCAATGAAATGAACGAACAACAAGTCTCCAGGCATACATAGGCGCGGGTAAAGTTCTGGACAGAAACGGTAGACGACCTGACGACTTTTCTTTGAAGCTAATAGGGAGGAAAGGGGGGGAGGGTGTTGGGTGAGTTCCTCAGGAGCAGCGTTGTAACTCAACCTTACCGAAAAGGAGCAAGAGAGGATATCAGGACAGACGTCAAGTCTCTAAAAGAAGCAGCCAGAAACGCTTTGGAAAAGAAGAGAAAAACAGCAATCCTATTTTTGGATTTGGGAAAGGTTACGACCAGGTCAATGGAGGTTCCCTCAAGCATCAGTATGGAAATGATGGGGGTGGGCCCTAACTTCAGAAAATGGACCACAACCCTCTAGAATGCCATGCAAAGCAGGGTGTGTCCAACTCAATGGTCTACCTTCTGAAAACTACCCTACCTCCAGGTCAATCCGCCAGGGAGACCCCTTAGCGCACCCACTCTTTCTATTCGTAATAAAAGCCATTGCTTCGTTCTTAAACCACTACCACATCCTGAAGGTGGCCCTGCTTAACATGCTGACCGTTTCGTGGATGTATGGGCCTGCTTGCCCCCAGTTCAATCCAATGGTCTACCGTGCCACGGGGCTGGGAAACGTAGTGGGGGTTGAGAATAGGTCCCTCAACCCAAAGAGTTCCTGAATGTGCCACAGGAACTCATCATCGCAAAGTGTAATCATGTTGGCAGACCATATTCTTTCGTAGGCACCATAAGTGGTACAGGAACTCATTATCTGAAATTTCGAAGTGCACAGGAACTTACCATCTGAAATTTCAACAGCATGGTACACGAGTCTTTCCAAGACACCCTAAGTGGAGTGGACAAAAACTCAAGCATAAGTACTTCCCTGGGAATCAAACTTGGCTTGGTTGTCAATATATAAGAAATACCGAGACTGTTGGTTACTGCAAGGAAAATGACCGAGCGAGGATGATAGAAATCCAAATTGCACCATCACATTGAAAAGCAGATAGTTGTGCGCACCAAGTACACAGTACTACACACCAAAGAAGAGCAAAGCAATGAACTCAGTTGTAAATGTCAGCCCCTTGTCTTGCCACCATCAACAAAAGTATCCATGTTGCTTCCCTACTGGCGCCTCGCACCAAACCACAGACTCACTCAGGACACCTATCCTAGCCTACTCTATGATGATGCAACCAGAAGAGCTTCAGCAGCAGGACTGATGTACATGAAGATGTGGCCCGTGCAGACCTCCACCACACACCAGGTACGTCCTCCTCTCTACCACGCTCAACCCGCCTGTCCCCGCAGAGGCTACCACCATGCCCAGGGACCACCATACAACCACACCGGCTTCCTGTGGGAGCAGCCCGGCTATGGCTGCCTCACACATGGGCTGCGAGCAGCAACCCAGCGCCCTGCACCCATGTGCGCTTCCACCAGCCAGCGACCAGCGCCCTGTGAGCGTGCAACCTGGCAGCGCTCATGTGAAGCCTCCATCCAGGGAATGCCCTGGACTGGAGGCTAGCACTTTCTTTTGTAGAAAGTGCCTGCCCTTGGAGGCTGCCAGGCTGCATCGGTGGTCCTAGTAGGTTCACGTCCAGCCCCAGTATCTGCGCCCAGGCTGAGTTGCAGATAGCGTCCTGGGGCCGAATTGTTTGCAGCTGCCCAGCTGAGTGACGTGGCTCTTGTCACTTGCCCAGCTGAGTGACGTGGCACTTGTCACTTGCAGCGACCTCATTGGCCGAGAGGATGCATGCCACAATGCAGCAACCGCGAGGCCCTGGAGCCCGAGATGCCCTGGTCACATGACCACGGCCTGCCTGTTGTTAACTACCCGCCGCTGCTTCTCCAACTGTCTGGCATGGGGCAAGCTCTCAAATGTCGAGTACTGGGCCCCCCGGCCAGGTAGCCCTTAGGCTACGGCCTGGTTCTGCGGAGGCCCTGATGCCTTGCACTCCCTCCTCCATAGCTTCGGTAGTCCACTGAGATGCTGCTACTGAACCCTTTGCTTTCCCTTTCAATAGTGTTTCTCATGGAAGGACACAACCTGTGGTGCTGTCTTGCGCAGTTCTTCCCTTGTGAACCAGCGGTCTTCTTTAGATCAGTGTGGTGCCTGAATCTGACCAGGTACTCTCCTTTAGGTTTTGGCGGTCTTCCACGGCCGGCAGGCTTTGGAACAGGCACGTCTCGGTGCTCCACAATCTCGTTGATGTCCACGGGGCCATCCATGGTTGTGGGCAGCATAGACTGTCGCGAGGGAAACTGGTCTGTCTCAGTGCCCTCATGAAGTTGCCAACATCAATGTCATGTCCATGTCTCGATCATATGCACAATTCAAGAGTAACGTCTCATCAGAGAAGAGCATGAGAGGAGAGAAAGAGGAGAGAAAAGACAGAGAAGAGGAGAAAGAGAGTCTGTTGCATACTAGTGAAAGTGAACCCAAGCATGACGCAGAACCCAATACAATGCAGTGGAAGACGGATAAATATGGATCTGCACTCACATCTGACTCGGACTATACACAGGCTCACACACGTACACTCATCGGGTGAGAGGGCCTGGCGCTCCAAACATGGAAGATGGTGCCAGAGCCTGTACACAACACGCACGGACGAATGTAGGGGGGAGAGAGATGAAGGGAGGAGGAGGAGATGGCGCCAACACAAAGTCACCGAATAGTAATCCCGAAATGTCAAAGCTACAGAATCTCGAAATGTCGAAGTTACAGAATCTCGAAATGTTGAAGTTACAGAATCTCGAAATGGCGCTGGTGTCAGATCTCCCAAAAGGTCCTCTCAACGTCCTACTCTGGAATGGCCTGAGTCCTGGTGTCACCAATATCCCACCATCGATCTCTGTCCCATAGTAACCGAGAAGGTAGAAGGTTTAGAAGAAGAGGGTGATGAAGAAGAAGAAGAAGAAGAAGAAGAAGAAGAACCGAGAGGGGCAGAGGAGGTGGAGATGGAGAGGTGGGACGGAGGAAGATCCTCCTGCCTGGATCCAGTGCCCGGGCACCAACCTGCAGATGCAAGGTGCCCTGTTGGAGCTGCTGAAGACTTGCCCTCGCCGTTGGAGCTATGGCGCTCACAGGTAGGTAGCAGGTATCTACTCTCTCTCTCTCTCTCTCTCTCACCTCTGCAGCTAGCGCTACACCTAGCGCTCTGCCTGGAGCTGCGCTAAACCAAAAATTGCGCAGCGCTCTGCCTAGTGCTCTGCCTGGAGCTGCTGCTCCTGAATGCCGCGCCTCCCAAGTCTGTCCCGAACAGACCGCTGGCCGGTACTAAGTACTAGTGGTGGCCTGTTCGGCCTGGCTGCTGAGGAAGCCCAGTCATGATCTGAATCGTTAAAACCGATTTGTGGTTCAGATCGGACCCGCGGGGAAGTGGCAGCCCCAAACTTCGGCCGCCAGGCTCAAACAAAACACATTTGAGCCGGTTTCCCGCTCAAGGCCTGCAGTAGCAGACCCGGGTCTAGAACTGGTTGCTGGGGCCTACCGTCGGCCTTTCCGAAGGTCGGGCCTCCCAGGCCGGTCTGGTCCAGCATGGCCATGGTCTAGGATAACCCCCTAGACCTAGCCGCTGGGTCTAACAGGGCCCGTGTGGAATCCAGTATGTAACACACTTCCCCCCTTGAAAGACCGAGCGACCTGCAAGGGTGAAGTTGTCTGTCCGAAACCTGGGTGGGTCGGGAGGGACGAACTTTGTCCTTGGCAAGTCGCTGTAGTTCGTACTCAGAGAAGATGAGTGGTGCAGATGCTTGTAAATCTGCTCATGAGATCCAGCGAGTGTCGTCGACATATCATTGCTTGAATGTGACTTGGTACTGCATTGGTTTGTTGCCATGTTTGCGGTGTGTGATGACACGGTCAACTTCCTGATGTTCGTCCATGGAGGGCGGATCCTGTGATCGTCTGCCTTAAAACTCGGCAGCCGAAGGTGGTGTGTGAACCGCTGACTTCGATGCACGAAAGACCGGGTGCACGGTGAGGTGTGGTGGGATGTTGATCGCAAAGGAAGGGCCCGTAGGGTCATCGCCGGCTGCAGAAATTACCTTCCATGGTCCGAACCATTTGGGGAGGAGTTTGCGAGAGACATCCTGCTCAAGCGCGAAATCCTCAGTGAGGACCCAGACAAGGTCACGGTTGAGTCCCTCGAAGGGTCTGCGTGGTCTAAAGGACTTATACAGTTCGTTGGGAGTGCGACAAGTTGCCAGGTGCACACTGTTGTTGTACGCATTGGCTACCTTTGGGAGCATCTCGTCCCCATTAACTTGATCAGGTCTAATGTACATTCTAAGAACTTGTTGTGGGATCTTGTTCATTTGCTTAATCTGATTGTTTTGTCTCTTGATAACCGCCAGATGACATGAGCAACTTAGAGCCATATACCTTCATAAATTCCCCAGTTCTTACTAGTGAACTTGGTATCCCTGTCGCTAACTATAGATGTCGGTTGACGATGTTCACTGACCTGATGATCAGTACAAAACGGCGTTTAGGTCCTTTAGGACTAGATATGAACATTATGAGTTCATAGTGATGCCCTTTGGGCTAACCAACGCACCGGCTACGCTCCAGTTCTGTATGAACGATTTGTTTAGGCCGTGGTTGGATCGATTTGTAGTTATATACTTAGATGATATTTTGATTTTTAGCAAGACCCTCTAGGAGCATGGGCCTCAGAGGCAGATCTTGGAAAAGTTGTGCGAAGCAAATTTCAAGATCAATTCGAAGAAGTGCAAGTGGGCGAAGACAAAGATTTTGTACTTGGGCCACATGTTAGATGGTGATGGCATAAAGCCTGAGGACAGCAAGATGGCAACGATTAGAGATTGGCCTCCCCGCATACCCTCACAGAATTGAGGTTGTTCCTAGGATTGGCAAATTATTATAGGAAGTTCGTGAGGAACTTCTCCGCAATCGCTGCTCTGTGAACCTTTATCTGATTGGCGTGAAGTCTATCTTGGTGAAGTACTTGCAATCCTGCACCCGGTCTAGCAGATCGTCTATACGGGGCAGTGGTTCTACATTCTTCACAGTAACGGCGTTGAGACCCCTATAGTCAATGCACATTCTAAGTTCTCCCTCTTTCTTGGGGACGAAGAGAATAGGTGCTCCAAATGGAGACGAATTGGGCCTAATCCATCCCTTTTCGAGGAACTCATCTAACTGTTTGCACAACTCCTCCTTAGGAGACATCCCATACATTGCTCGTTTGGGAGTCTTACTGCCAGGCTCTATCTCAATGCAGTGTTGGATAGGACACGAAACCACTCCTGAAGGAGACTTGGACAAATCTGCATATTCTTCCAACAATTTGACAATAAGTGGGTTGGTAGGTTCCTCTTTCTTAGGCTCAGTGAGAGGCCTAACATGGGCTACAAAAACCTGCTTTTCTAATTGCTCCTTTTTCGCTAGACGCGCGAACGTGAGAGCACGGAGACAACAATGTGCTAGGGGGTTATCTACTCCTGACACATGAAACAGACGAGCCGTCTTGACGTCGCCTGAAGGACGAGGAAGCTTACACTCGTGCTCTCTTAAGTGCAGTGTGACTCCTGCTGCCTCTCTCCAATCCATACCTAGGACCATATCGAATGGGAGATTGTCCTCTAGGAGGAGAGTCGGGGAATGGAAAACTCTCTCTATCGCCCCATCTTTCTCTAGGCGAAAGTACGCCTGGACTCCCTCGACGTAATCCTCGATTCGCATAGTGCGATTATCTGCTAGGATGTTGACTATGGGATCTTCTAACTTATGGACGTCAGATTTAACTCCAGCTTCTGCAACGCTTTTCTGCTTATATAACTACGTGTGGCCTTACTGTTTATTAGGGGCCCTACTCTGCCTCTAAAAACTTCTACATCTACTAGCAGTAACTGCCCTTTTCCATCCTTCTTCATCTTGGCCCAGGTTGGCATCCTTTCCTTTAACTCTTCTGCCGGTCCTGTGTGGGAAGCGCCTAGAGAGAACACAAGCAGTCTCTGGATAGCTAACTAGGCGCTGGCCAGCAACCTCTGCCATAGGCACATGTGGTTTGGGAGTTTCTTTGTGGCGTGCGCACTCTTCTCCACGTGGTCTAGGGGTAAGGGCAGTTGCGACCCCTACTGGCGCATCAATATTTGACGATATGCCCCGGGTCACCGAAGTAGATGCGTCGATCCTCATCTATCCTCCTTTGCCAAACAGTTTGTTCTAAACCCAGCGATTCCCAGGGTCTGGCTTGAGGCAGACCAGGGTTCCATTCACCCCTTTGTAAGGTGATCGATTGCCACAAGACCGGTTTTGCAGAAGACCTTGACCCCTTCCTCTCTTTTGGCGGTTACCTCTACCACCAACCCGCTGGTCGCCCTGTCCTTGACCACCAGAGGCCCAACCTCTTTGGCCCTGGCCCCTTCCTCTACCTTGCGACCTCCCACTAGCCGCGACAACAACATAAGTACTCTTTTGGCTCACGCCACTATCCTCCTCTTTGAGGCCCCACTTGATCTGGCTATAGGGGACCTCTTCCATACCACCTTCGTCTAGTGTAAGGATCAGGTGATTCTTGGCCCTGACTTGACCTGAGATGGTACGGCCCTTCCACTTTTGTCCTTTGTCCAAGTCCTTATGCCAGAAAGTGGATGCTGGCATGGACCGAGCTTCAAAATGCCACTACATCCCTACTTAATGTATCGTAGGTCATGTTAGGCTGTTTGCTTCTCTCATAGAAGTGCTCGTGCAAACTTTCGGGCATGGCACGAAAGAACAACTGAACTAATTGGGCCTCAATAACCCCATGGTCAGGGATAGCAACTAATTCATCCATAATGCCCTTGAGTGCCCTGACACTCTTCCATTGACGTGAATGGACTGTTTGCAGTTTGTCAGAAGCCTTAAGGCCTCTAGTGACATCTACAAATCGATGGCGGAGGGCTTTGGCGAATTCACTCAATGTGTAATGGCGGAGTAAGCGACCATATCGTTACCACATTTGGCGGCGCGGGCTAACGACCTACCGAAGCTGAATGCCTCATCTCTGAGGGCGTGAAAGGTCACGAGGACTTGTTCCTCGGGGATGATATTCTGGAGGTGTACATAGGAGTTTATGTTTGCCTCCCAGTTATCGAAGTTCTCCTCCTTCTTCCTACTGTATGGATCAGGGAATTTCACCTTTACGCCTTCCCTGCGTGGGCGTGCTTCCTCCTCTGGGACCGCTATCTTGGCGGCTTCTATGGCGCCTGTGAAGAACTTCTCTATGTTGTCTAATTGCGCCTGTACTTCTGTGCCCACACGCATCATCATGTCATGTGCGAAGTCTCTTAATCCCATGTGTATGGACTGTAGAGCAATATCATGGCCCCTCAGGTAGCGCATCTGCTCTTGCTGTGCCCTCAACATCACTTCCACATTCTTGCCTATGATTTCCACTTTGTTTTGGAGATCTATTTGCATTGCCAGTTGCCCATGTTGCTCCCCTGCTGTTGCTAACTCCTCTATTTCAGACCCCGTCTCCAATCGCTGCCTCCTTTCCCTTGTGAGGCACAACTTCCATTCTATCTTCTTTTCATCCTCCAACGCCTGATGCTGTTAGGGGTCTTTCTGCTTGTATCTCCTTAATTACCGCCTCCCTCTCTTCCTGGGGAACATACAACATAACTTCTTCTTCCCCGAACGACAGATTAGCTACCCACTCCGTCACCATCTTCTCCAATCTCTTATCTGTTTCCTTCGTGCCACTTGACTTCCCTTTTTCCCCTCTCCTCACATTTCGCTCCAAGGGAGGGTCAACTTCTTCCTCTTCTTCTTCTTCTTCTTCACCCCTAGGCTATGGCTTCTTCTCTTTTGCTTGTCTCTCCTTCCTCCCGCTTTCTCTTCCTTGTCTCCTTCGTCTTCTTCAACCCCGTGTCCGAGCTCGGCGGCTATGGACGCCACTTTCTTCCTCGAGCGGCAACAACTTATATTGTATCGCTTCTCTCTCTCTCTCTCTCTCTCTCTCTCTCTCTCTCTTCTTCTTCCTTCGGCGTCGTTTCTTCTTGCAGGTCCGATGGTCTTCTACATCATAGCGGCCTTCTTCGTTCGCAGCGGCTTCAAATATTCTCTTCCTCAAGGAGCAAAGGTCCTTCTTCAGTTGTGCGGCGGGCTCCTCCTTCGACCGGTGCAGCAGCGGCGCACAACAACCTTCTCTCAACAGCGGTGCAAATAGTAACGAATAGCGCCAATCGATTGGCGCGCGTACTTCACAGCGGCAGCAGGCACATTCGCAGGAACGGGCAGCGCTCGACAGTAGATACGCGTGTGGGAACGGGCAGTGGTGCACGTATCAGCAAAGCACGCGCAAAGTGTCGACCGTGGGAAAGCTTGGCGCAATAGGACAACGGTCGACAGGCGGCTGCGCGACGCTGAGGGGAAGGGTGCGCGACCTGGGAGCGGGCGAACGCGCAGCAAGCAGCGAGGCGCGGGCGGTGCTGACATGGCGCCTCTAATGGCGCCTCCCTCTCTCCTTGTCGGACGGCGCTGACGTGGCGCCTACCTCCTCCTACCGACGTGGCGCCTGGCGCTTCTCGCGATCTCCTCAGCTGCAACGATGGCGATCATGATGACGACGGTGGCAGTCACTGCAACGATGACGACGATGATCGCCGCAACGGCGGGACAATGAGAATCAGCTTCGATGCCAATGCAATCAGACTCGACGATTCCGATTTTCAGCATGCGTACAAGCAGATGACGATCAAGCTGGCGACTAGCGCCCACACAAATGTTATGATTCTGGTTGTTTGTTGTCTGAAGACCAACAGTCACTCACATAGACTTCCAAGTATGCCCATACATACACAGAAGGAAGGGGAGAGGATAGGAGTATCACACCGCACAGGGAGAGATAAACACAGCGGAAGACTTGACCATGCGATATGACAGGGTACACTGAAAGTGCAAGTCACTCCACTCAATCCTCATAACCAGTCATAGAGAAAAGCCGAGCAGATCACATCCAAGAGACAATGAAACGATCATAGTCCAAACACAGTATCACACTGATTATTAAACTCAGAGTCTCGAATTGTCAGGATAACTTCAGTACTGCAGTGCGCTACTTAGAAATGAGCAGCGCTTCACTCCCCAACCCTTAATATCACCCGTAACACCCCCTGAGTCCCGGAAACATCAAGCGCCACCCAAATACAGCCTCCTGAGGGAAGCGCCACCTTGAAACAGGCCTCTGAGGCCAAGCGCCCCTCAGAGGATGAAGAAAAAGACTAGCGCCACAGTATCTGATGATGACGAAATGTCGGAAGACTTCCCGGGTGGAAGTCTGCAGCAGCGCCACCAAACCCTGACAAGATGACCTCTTAGGAGGAAAGTTGTTATGGCTGCAGCGCCAACACCTTGGAACCCCACTCCGGAGGAGGGTCCAACAGGGCACCAATCTCTCTCGCCTCCAGCAGACCTCGATAACCCAGACCTCTGTCATCCCCTGCGTGCTGGCAGAGTACAGCGCAGGTCCCAGCTATGGCCGGCGCTCCAAAGGTTTGGCTATGCCTGTCTCCTTCCACGCTGAGCCGTCACCACTTCCGGTTCACGGGTAGCACAACAACGATGTACTCGGTACCAACTGCCAAAAGCCTTGAACCGATGTGCCCATCCTATTATAGACTACAACTAGCCTAGACTCGACCAAGACCGGACTGACCGACCGATCGGTACCGTATCTGTTTCGGCCTCTCGGCCTCTACCGGACCTGGCTATAGGCTATAGGACCATCTATCAGCATAGGCCCTTAGGGCCTGTCTGTCCTAGGGGTAGCCCGGGCCTGCGCAGTTAGGGTAGGTGTAGGGAACCCTGTTAGTACCGGGCCTGTATTTCTCGAATTTGCAGATATGTCCCTTACGAATTTCCCTCACAGGTAGGTCTTTCAGTTAGCCCTCAGCCAAACAAAATTACGAATCTATCCTACCTATAGTACAGCCTCGACAGAGAGAGGCAACAGGCGACCAGAAAACAGCAAGTCATTGCAGACCTACCCTCCCCCAGAGTGAGGACCTCTGAGCTAGGGGTGTAGGCGTGCAAAGCGCCGAATTGATACCCCCTTTTGTGCTGCCTCATATTTGAGGATTACAGACTTGGCCGTCTTCAAAAGTTCCTTGCGAGTAAACCACCGGTCCTTAGTATGTGGCTGGTACAAAAACTTCACAAGGTACTCCTTATCTGGACCTGTACCTGACTCATCCTCCACAGTTTCGACCTCATACCCTTTGCCAGGGATAGGGGGACCGAACTGAGGAGGCTTGTCTGGGAATGCATCAGCTGGAGTAAATGGCAGCAGCTTAGATGCATGAAAGACAGGGTAGGTTTGTAGATGTAGAGGGACATCCACTGCGTAGGATGGTCCAAATGGATCAGCTCCTATGTATCGTGGCAGCAACTTGGGCGAAATATCCTCCTCCCGCGACAACTCAGAATTGAGTAGCCACACCCAGTCACTTGTGCGAATAGTAGAAGGATGTCTGTGCTTAGTAGCCTGTTGAATCATAGCCTTTCGGGCTTTCAAGAGGTTAGCACGGACACGCTCTATGTCTACACGGTAACGCCTGGTGAACTCTGCAGTTCGAGGTGTCAGCGTAGGGGTAGCCTTGTCGATGATGTCATTGAGAGGCTGCCGTGAGTCACGACCCCTGTGCAACCGGTAGGGTGTGAAATCAGTAGAGGAGTGTACATACGTGTTATACACAAGCTGTGCACGACTCAAATGGAGATCCCAGTCCTGCTGATCTGGACTGCTCACATGATGCAGCAATTGGAATAGAATCTGGTTCATCACTTCAGCCTATCCATTGGCTTAGGATCTATGTTGCACGCTGGCCGCGGCCGACGGCCTAGGCCGGGACCCCCCCGGCCGCGGCCGGCCCGGCCGAGTTTTTTCGGCCTCGGTGTCGACCGATCTGGGGGGCCGTTTTCGAAGCTGGGAGTGGGTTTGGGGTGGGGGTAACCCCCTCAAAGTGACAGGGCGTAAAAAAAAACAAAACGGGGGGGTCGTGCACAAGACCCCGGAAGGGTGGCCCGCGAAAAATCCAGCGGCCCCAGTGTGCAGGTTCGTCGATGCGGGGTCGCAGGGAGGAGGGTCTGGAACAGTGGAAAAAAAAAATAAAAAAAATTGACCCCTACGGGGGCGGCCCAAGTGGTTAAGGCGGGCCGTGCGGCCAGACCGGGTCGAAGCTAGACGGGGCTGCAGATGGCAGACCCCAGGTTGGGCCTGGTTGGGGCGGGCCTGACGCACTGAAAGGTAGGCGTCGGTTTCATTAATGAGGGCGATGACAGTTCGTGGCTTATTTGAAAACAACACATTCATGGCAAATTTGGCAATCATAAGTCGGACCCTGTATGGCATACCAATGGCAAAACACATTGAAAATGAATCACAGTGCGGCGAACCACAGGTTTCAAACAATGATAACAGGCAAGTGTGTCATAGTGTGTGTTCACTCAGGAGACTGATGGACATTCATTAGCACATCATTTATGTAAGAAGACATTCATTAGCACATCATCTCTATGTCGCATCTGAAATTAACTGCACCTTCATAATGGAGGCATCCATGACATGCACRTGCGTGGCATCGGAGAAGCACATAATTTGCAACAATCACGACAACAGAGCAGAAAACAATCACCAGACAACAGCGACTCAGATGCAAGACCAATGTTGGCGGAGGAACAAGAACAATAGCAAATATATGACAAAGCATTGCAATGGAAATGCGTATGTACAAGGCTGAAGCCAAAAACTGGACCCGTAGTCTCTACTATACAACCGAGTAGCAAAAAAAACTGGACCCATTGTCTCTGCTACACAACAGAGTAGCAAAAAAAAATTGGACCCGTCGATGGGCGTCGTCTCTACTGTACAACTGAGTAGGAAAAAAAAAATGAAAACCCTAATGTCCACATCGTTTCTAATGAAAACCGAGTACGAAAAAAAAATAAATGAAAACCCTAATGTACAACCGAGTAGGAAAACAAAACTGGACCCGTCAACGGGCGTCGTCTCTACTGTACAACCGAGTAGCAAAAAACACCACGGACGTCGTCATCTCCCACCAGAGCGCGCGTGGCCTCTCCCGGCGGACGTGCGGCCATGCGATCCTCCCCGGCGCCCTCCTCTCCCTCCGGCACCTGTGCCCCGTGCCCCGCTGACATATGCAGCATGTGCCGCAGCGGCCGCCGCGGCCACCTGTGCCCTGTGTCTGCATGCCGCAGTCTCGATCGGCTCAGACTCAGTGTCTGTGTCTGCGTCCTCGTCCTCCTCCGCCTGTAGCAATCCCCCTCTCTCTCTCCCTCTGAATCGCGTCCAATGCTGCCTGGCCAGCGGCGACCCCTGCAGCGAGTTGAGCCTCAACCTCTGAGAGGCCATGCTGTCGTCTCGTCCCGGGACGCATGAACAACCCCTCCTCGCCCGATGTGAACTGCTCTTCCCGCAGCCTGTCCGTGGATGTCCCTGGGGCCTTGAGGACCAATGTCCTCCTCGTCTCCGTTCGTGACAAACCAAGCATGAGGCCTGCCATCTGCAGGCTCGGACGTTCGGACCCGCCCTCTGCAGCCTGCGCCTGAACAGGTGCACGTCCCGTGAAGACGCCCCTCCTGGCGCCCGCAACCGGTCCCTGACCCGACGAACAGCTGACCATCCGCCACCCACACCTCCTCGGATTGGCGGCGGGGAACCGCCACTGTGCGCAACTGCGGGTGCCACCGTCCGGTCCCCGGTGTCGACCCTGCCCTCCGGAGTCCGTGTGGGCGGTGGAGGCATCGATCCTGCACTATCTCTGCCGCCGTCGCTGCGTCTGCCGGACCCCACCTGACCCGCACCGGACTCCCTCCCTCTAACGCTGCTGAGCGACGAACCCGACCAGTGAGGGCTCTGCACTGTGAACGGCGGCGGTGAATATACCCTCCCAGGGGCCCGCTGCTTGCCGCTCTTGCGGCTCAGGTGTGCGAAAGGGTCATCCGTCAACGCATGCGCCAAAGCGTCGGCGTCGAAGAAAGTGTGCGCTGTGCCGTCAGGGCGCATGGGAGGCACTGTGGGGTCCCTCAACCCAAGGCGAGCCTATACGGATCGTCCTCCGGACCGTGGTCATCGTCATCGTTGCCGTCCGGTCCATCGTCTCCACCGACACCCGCGGTATCCCCATCTCCACCGGGTCCACCCTCTCCTCTGCCGCACACTGCGGCACCCTGTCCCTCATCACCCGCGGTCTCGCTGTTGCCATGGCCCCCACTAGGGGACCCACCGTCCATGACAACATCCTGCCCCTCAGGGACACCCGCGGCGGCATCCTGCCCCTCATAATCGAACTCCCCCTGAACCGCCTCCTCAGGGATACCCGAGTTGTCGACGTCACGGCTCCCCTCCCCTCCTGTCTCCAAGTCCCTCTGCCGACGCTGCTCGTCGAGATACGCGAACCGACCCTCCCACTGTGGCAAACTCCTCAGCCGCTCCTCCTCCTCACAGACCAAACGGGCATCCCTCTCCTCCTCAGTCTCGACAGGGCCCCGCTCAACGTCCGCGTCTGTGTGCACATCTTGCGGTGAGGCACGTCGACGTCCCTCGACACTCAAATCTGCCAAGCTCCCACCAAGCCCTATGTCCTCGAAGTCCTGTGTGTGGAGCACCGACGGCGAGCGGGGGCGGATACCGGCGTCGGAAGGAGTCCTCTCTCCCCCACGATCCTCGCCGTCATGTGTCCGGTCTCTGCCTGCTGCCGACGCCAACCTCTCCGAACGCCTGAGTGGCTCCCCCTCAGGCTGTGCAGAGATCGGATGATGGGAGGGAGAGAAGCGACGATCGCGAAGGGCCACCTCCTCATCCTCGGCCTCCCCCTCCTCCTCGCTGTCGCTCCTAACCTCCCAACGCCTGCCTGTCTGCCGAAGACCTCCCCGTGGTTGCTGCTCCCCCGAGTCGTCCACGCGAACCTCCGCATGCGAACGTCCTCCATGACCACCGCCGACTCTGCTGCTGCTACTCGTCGGCGCGGTCGATGACACAGCACCAGTGATAACTGATGTGAATGAATCTGTGCTGTCACGACCCCCACTGTAAGTGAAGTGCACTCGCTCAGCCGTCGGGTCGCGACTCAGCGGCGTGTCATCATCGTCAGTCCAGTCGTCGTCGATGTCGTCGTCTGCCGCAGCAACGTCCACATCATCCCCACCCTTCGGCCACGGTCGCAGCTCAGTCGCTCTGCTTCCGAACATGTCCCGAACCGAACGGGCTCTGGACGGTCGGTTGTCACGGAAAGCGACAATCTGCCGCTGGATCTCCTGCTCGGGAACATTGCCATCAGGTCGCGCTCCCCACACCTCGGGCTACACATCTCCCTCCTCCTCCTCCTCCTCTGCCGTCGTTCCCCCCCGACCGCTCCCCATAACCCATGGCAACACGTAGCCACCACCCTGTCGTGCGCACGAGGCCAGTTTGAGATTGGTGGCAATCTCAACTAGCTGTGCAAGCTTGGCGAACCCAAGCTTGCAGCGCCTCGCCGTGCTGACGCGCTCGTGCTCCGCCCAGTTTCTCTCCGCTGGAGAGGCAGACGTCCACAAGTGCATGACACAGATGGCGATGGTGCGCAACTCCGGGTGGGCACGTCCATGCTCGAACCACCACACTGCACATCGCTCGGTCTCACTGTCCCCCGTGCAATCTGCCGCGTCGGCATCAGAGAGCTCACGATCTCCCCAATCCCCTCGCCTCGAGTGGAACGCCCTCATTTGGTCCCTCACGGTCCTGTACAGTCTGCCGACCGAATCGCCGTCGGTCTGCGCTAGGAGAAATCTGTCGCACTCCTCGACCACAAGGCGGTTGTCGGCGGTCGTCTGTAGCGAATGGTAATACGTGAGGGACCGTCGGCGAGGGTTGAGGAGGTGGGCCGCGGCATGTGCGGGCTCTAGCATGTGGAGGTTGCGGATGGCAACTTCAGGCACCCACGGCTCGATCATGTCCGTCGGCACATCGACCCTCCTCATCAACTGCAGCAGATGCTGACTCCACTCGCAAACGACGGACATCATCATCCCACCTCTATCCATCCTGCGCAACAGCTGGTGAACGGGCGACATGACTAGGATGGCGTAATGGACACGCTGCCAAAACTCCCCGTCTCGGATCTACTGCTGCACCCACTGCGCCTGAGATACGTTGGCGCGATCCCATGGGATGCGTGCCCAAGCATCCCCGTGCAACATGCTCTCCAACGCGTCTCGTCGGCCTTTGAGACACGTCAGCATCAGGAAAACCGATGCAAACCGTGTCTCAACGGGCTCGACGAGCTGAACGCGAGGGCTCACCTTCCTAAACAGGGCGTGAGCAGCCACGCTCGAGCGAGGATGACGGTCTCCTTGACCCACACCACTCGCGTCCCGATATCTGACAACATCAAGTTGCAGACATGGGTGGAGCAGGGGAGTCAAGTGACCCTCCTGATGTCAGGCTCGGGGTCTGTGGCGAACCTGCGCGGTGCCGCCGTATAGTTCCTGGCGGTTTGTGCAGAAGATGATCACGTCCTTTACACGATGTCCGATGTGTCTCCGACCGACCCATCACATGCGACGGTGGCGTACAGCAGGGCGCCATTGGCGCCCCCGGCCAGGAAGTTCACGAGCGGCTTGCCGCTGCGCGACTTCTCCCGTCGGAAAGGATAGTGGCACCGCTGTGTCGGAAAGCGGCGCGCACCTTGCTCACCATCGTCGCCACCTTCGCCCTCTGCGAAGGGATACCGGCCCCCGCTGTAACCTTGAAGGAGGGAAACCGAAACTGGATAGAGCGAGGCACTCTCTCTGCTGCCTGCCGCACCCTCTGGAACTCCGGACCACGGAAGGCGTTGAATGGCAACTTCTTCACGTAGATCCACTGAAGCCACGCGTCATGGAACTCGGCCAACTTCTCCCTGGCGTACATCTCGACAATCGTGGTCTGCCGCGCCCTCTTCTCCCTGCCCGTGTCTGGCACCTCGACGCCATCCTGCCCTACTATCCTCTTCTCCCTCCGCGCGCGCTCCACCTCACCTCGCGGCGCCCTAGTAGCAGGACCCGCTCCACCGACGCCTCTCGACGTCATCACCACCTCCTCCCCTGGCAGGTTAGGCTCTCCGACTGCCTCGTCTGCCTCGTCTGCCTCGTCTGCAACCGCCCCCTCCCTGGCCCCACCCTCGCGGCCCTCCTCATCGAGGGCGTCCTGCATGTCGTCCCTCTCCAAGTCGTCCATCCGCTGGCTCTGGCCACCCGCGGGCGCTCTCGTGTCCCGTATGCCCTCGTCTGCCATCCACCTCTGCACCCGCTGAGCAGTGGACGACACAAATGTGTAGTCCATGCCGTCCCAGAGTTCCGCGAGAACTCTCATCCCCCCAGCCTTGCAGAACTTTGACTGCGTAAAATGACGCGCGGCCTTCGACGACCCCCCCTGAAACAGGTGGCCGCATAAGTTGCAACGCAACTTTCGGTCCGCGTGCATCTTCGACTGGTCCCCGACGTATTGGCCCGCGGTGACGTAGTTCCAAACAATGTTCCCTCGCCTCAACTTCGACATCTCCTTCTCGAACAGTGGGTCGAATTGGGCACCCCCGGACCCCCCCGCACCGCTGCTCCCTGCACCCCCCGTCATCGCCCCCCCACCAGGATCCAACAAGTCGTGACCTCGATATTCGATGTCGGCTGACGGTGCCGCACCGTTGATGCAGCGTCTCCTCGATGTCGCTGCGCCCTGACGCCCCCGCCGCTTCTGCCGCTGTATCCCCTCGGTGTTGCGCCAGGCCACGGTCCACCGGCACCTCGGCCGGCCGCCTGCAACCGGTCCCCCGAGGCGGGCAGCTCAGCCCGGCCGCCGTCGACCGTGATCGGCCACGTTCGGCCGTATTCGGCCGTGTTCGGCCGCGGCCGGGCACTAAAAAGGCCGCGCGCTTGAAAAAGACGCACGCGGCGATGGCGACGGCCGTGCGGCGGCTGCAGGGCAGCGCGGGGCCGCTATCCCGCGTGCTCGCGTGACACGCGCCGCTGCAGGGTGCGCAGGAAGAAGAAGAAGAAGAAGAAGAAGATCTCTCTCTCTCTCTCTTTCTCTCTCTCTTATGAGTCTCTCTCTCTCTCTCTCTCTCTCTAGAGTCTCTCTCTCTCTCTCTCTCTCAAGAGTCTCTCTCTCTCTCTCTCTCGTTCTCAAGGGTCTCTCTCTCTCTCTCTCTAGAGTCTCTTTCTCTCTCTCTCTCTCTAGAGTCTCTCTCTCTCTCTCTC